GTTCAGAAGGTGGAAAAAACAGGAGCTCAGTTAAAGTTGATTTTCCAGGAAAGTATAAAAAATCATCTTGTCCCAGCGGTGTAAACTCGGGGGTTTGTCATGTAACAAGTTTTTAGTTCTAAAAGGAAAAGTAGCACCGTAATAAACTTGCTCACCTTTGCCTCTTCTGTCCATATTTCTCTCTGTACAGCCACAGGTGACGGTGGAAGTGCTGGATCACCTGGAACACCTGGCCTTGGTTGATTTCCGCGACTCGGAGGGCGTAGAGCGGCTACAGAAGGCAATCCAGTTTGCTGATCAGCTTCATGAAGTAAACACTGATGGAGTAGAACCGATGGATTCAGTCCTGGAGGACAGGTAACGAATTACAACAGCTTCCTTTCAGCTGTTAATGTATCAAACTATTTGCTTTTGTAACTTTGTTCCCCCCTCCCCGGGAACCACCCTGGTTGTGCATTTGTCCTCTTTTCTTACACAAAAGTCTTATTGTGGTTCTGTGTGGGAGGAAGGTGTCATTGGCACTCAGCATGGCAAAGATGACCTCCCAGTTCCTTTGTCTGTCTTACTTGTGATGACTGATCCGCACATGCTGCTCCCCAGAGATGTCAGTGGTGTTCTTAGTAATTTCAGAATGTTCCAATACTTGTCTTACTGCTTAGTTAAGATCAAAACCAAGCTTAGAGATAAGCCACACTTCCTACTTCATAGAATAGCTTATAGACAGGCAAGTAATCTTTGTTCTTTAGGTGTCTGTATCTCAGAGAAGATGATGTTACAGAAGGCAACTGCACAAAAGAGCTGCTGAAAAATGCCAAAGAGAAAGTAGAGGAATATTTTGTAGCCCCACCAGGTATTGTCTTGCTTAATCCTCTTAATCTTGCTTGAATTAACCTGAGGAATATAACCTACTATAGTGCATTTACTTTCAGAAATACTATTAATAAGGAAGTCCTAAGTAACTGTAGCTGTACAAATAACACAGTCTACAACCTATTTGTCTAAAAGCAGTACAGAAGCTAATCTTACTCTAAAAGTTAATGCACATGTCGAGTGATTATTTACAAGAAGTCAAACAGGACTTACTCTCCTTACTTGCTCAGGAAATGTAAGCTGCCTACACATACTTAGAGTAAACTGGAGAAGCACTTTTGTGCTAAGTTGTACTACCCATAAGTTAACTTACAGCTGGTCTCACGCTACTTTCTTCTTTTGTTTTCTACCAGGTAACATCCCTTTACCAAAGCTAGAAGAGCGAGACACTTTTCTGCAAGGCTGTTAGCAGAAGCTCAGAATCCAAATGCTATTTCAGGATTTTATTTGGGAAAACTAACCTGTGCAGTCACAGCTGACTTACCCTAGCATGTATTTTGATCAAAAGAAGAACACTTGCAAGGCAATTGACAGAAGAAGGAAGGTGTAAAAAGTTTAGTAGTGCTACCGAAATATTCCATGTTTATGAAGCTGGAAGGCAGCATGACAGATGACCTTAGTTTTTATTTAGCAAAGTGAATTTGATGTCATTCTTTAAGATACTGAATGGCTTAAAGGTTTTAAAGAGAACATTAAAAGGTAATAATTAAAAAACCCAGAATGTTATTTTTTTCCTCACCAAGTTTGTCAGGGTTGGAAAGTTGTATTTGCCTATTTCTCACCCTTAGGTCAACTCTGGCTCCTGACCCTGTCAGAAGTAACAAAGTCTGGTACAGAGGAGGAGTCTGTAACGTTGCTGAGTATCTGTGACAGATAGTTAGAACTCAGATTTTCATTACAGAAGAAAAGGCACTTTGAGAAGATGATTCAGTCAAGTATTTTGCTTTTACTGAGGCAGGAGAACATTGCAGGAAGAGGTGCTGTGCTGGGCAAACGGGGAAGACTGCAATGCAAACAATGCATTGTCACTGTCTCATGGTGGCAGAGAATGCAGAGGCTTCCTCACAGAACATCTGACAGTCTGAGGCAACACAGCCGAGGCTCACTGAAAGAAACTAGAGACCTGCTAAAAGAATACTGCAGCAAACTACATCCAAGTAGCTCATACCATTGAGTTTCAGGCCACAAAGAGTGCAGTCAAAAACTGAGACCTCTACTTTTCTTTCTGGGTGGTGCCCTGTCCACATACAGATTTAAGAATCCATATATTTATTTCAGCTGTAACTTCATGCATTGGAGTGATCATGACATTCTGAGCCACAGTGGAATTCTCTTTGGAAGTGCCAGAAAAGACCCCTGACTAATCACCAGTTCTAAATCTGCTCTTACAGGAGAAAGAAAGTGGCTTCTGCATGACTGTGCAGGCATATGCCTCCCCTGAGGGCAGAAACTCACCTCCCGAGATCATAATTTGACATCATCCAGCTTACACAGTGCATGTTCTGTATCTTTTTGTAGAGAAAAGCCATTACTCCCATTCCATCTTCCTGTACATCCGCATAATAAACACCACCAGCTTGGTGTGTGTGTCCCTTGAGGTTCTGCCAGCTGTCTGATAGAGGCAGTTCTGAGCATGGCAGCAATAACTATTTCTCCTATGAGCTGCATCTTCCACATCCCTGCAAACAGGTAATATAAATTAGAGATTAATGATACACATATGTTGTTTCTTAACATCTCAAAAATCCACCAGACAGAAGTATCATTTGAGAAACACTGAAAAAAGAGTTGTACCTTGTGCAGACTCCTTTGACAAGCTCCCATTCAGGCCATTCATATGTGCTGTGTATTTAATGGAAAACCTAGGCTGAGTGAAAAGGCCTCCAGCTGTCTTTGCAGGTGTACAGCCACTGGGTAGGACTGACTTTCACTCAGTAGCCTCAAAAATTGCATGTTTGGTAAGCTTTGAACTGTTTTTTTGGTTTTTTTTTCTTCTGGAACTGATTTTTCTTTCATATGGCAGGGAAAGCAAACACTCGCCCCACTCTTATTTGTGCAGTTACTTTGTTTAAGCTGCCTTAATATCTACATATGCACATGCATAAAACATGTAATTATTACAATACTTGAATTCTTTCAAGCATGTTGAATTAAAGTCTCTATTTAACCCCACTAATCCAATTCTTTGTAGAGCTGTAAGCTGTATGAGTGCTTTAGTCTCACGCTTTTCAAATGTTTAAGTTTTTACAAACATACAAGCTCAGCCTAAAAGTAATTTCTATGTATATATAAAGCATGACAAGGAAAGTCCTCAAGTCACACCATACAAAAAGCACGTTAGCAGAGAATTCCCAGCTTGAGAAAACATCACTTATTTATCCATTTTGGTCTCCTTTGACCATCAGAGAGAATAGGGATGATGTTTTTTACATAGAAAAAGAAGAGGAATTTGAGTGAACCACATCGCTGCAGGAGCTTCTAACCCAATATGTCATCAAGTAGCTATTTAAAAGTAACAACTAAACCAACAATTTGGACAAAGACGATCCTATGTTGCCAGTGCAGCATGGGCGAAGCTTTAAACTGCCAGTTCATTGCTGTTCCCTTACCCACACGCTTCAGTGAGAGAGCAGACTGCCTGATGCTTGCTCCATGCTGCCCAAACTGCATGTAAAGTGGAAAACACACATTTCTGTAATTAAGAGGTTTGTTGTAACTTCACCACTAATAAGGGAATTACAGCCTCGAGTCAGACACCTGCAACCACCAAAACAGAAACCCTTGCAAAAGACAGATGAGCTGCCCAGGGGGCAGAATATGTTAGTACCTCAGCCTGCCCTCGGCATGTCTCATGTGGTGGGTGCTGTGCCCCGAGGGCAGTGCGAAGCCCCACCGGGCCCCAGCTGCACCCTGAGCTGGGGATGAGATGCCCTTTGTGGTGCTGGTTCACCTGCTTTCAGCGCAGGACCTCGATGCGCAACTGTGTTTGGATCGGGGTCAGATCTTTACAGTATTCTGCCACAATGCAATTTATAGACCCCAGCAAGGGAATAAATGTAGTTAAGGACTTGTAATAAAATCACTACTTGTAAATTCCTTGCTGCTGCAGTGAGGTGAACATAACATATTTGTGAAATAGCTCATCTTCTCTCAGTAGTTAATAGATATTGCAAAAAGAGAGAAGAAAATCTCGTTGAAAAACAACAACAAAAGGATGCCAGATTCTGAGATGATGTAAATGTATTTAGTTTCCATGGAGACCATGGAGATGAATTACACCTGCTAAGGTTTTTTCCACTACTATGTAAAAGGGGATTAGAAGCCCTAGCATATAGATTCCAGGTTTACAAAGAAAATTTCAAGGTGGAGATTTCTTCAGTTTTATAGAAAAAAGGCAGTTGTTTTATTGCTAATAAAGCTCATTTTACGTTTTGATAGTAACTAGGAGCCCCAGGAACCCTAGATACAGTATGCAACACTGCAAAAAAAAGCCCCAACTGAAAACTGCTTACAATCTAATCTCCATCTGCAAGAAGAATCTCATGATACGCCTTATCCATTATCCAATTTTCTTCCGCACCTCCTCATTCCAGTGAATGTGTATTTGTTCTGCCTTCCCCTGCAGCTCTGTCCTGAGGGAAACTATACCTTTATACTTTTGATTAACGAGTAAGCCTCTAATGTTTGTCTTTAAAGCCGTGTATTTCAGGCTTTAATGTTTCTCTTTAACAACATGTATCTCACCCACACTGACATTTCCTGCCGTCGTCATCACATCTGTTCCTTCAGCTAACCATTTCTTAATAAGTGCATTGAAATTTGCCTGCAGCTACCAAACATAACCACCTCCTCAGAGATTCATGGGTGTTTCTGAAGTTCATTGTAAGCGCTGGGGAGGTTGCTAAATGGTTCAATTCTGTCAGCACAAAACTATTCAGTACTCAACCATTGCTGGTGCTGAACATACTAAACCCAGGTCTGTAAATTAATTGCTTACTGTGGCCCTGGACTATTCAAAGCTTCTTCAAATTGCTAGCACACAAAGTCTCTTACGCCCTTTCATCTGCTGCATTAACCAGATAAGTTCCTTAATTCCATAATTTTTAGAACTGTTCCTAACAGGCACTCCTGATGGCAAGATAGAGAGCAAAGCTGTGAATGCATCTATTCTGATTGGAATGCTAAGACCTGGGAGCTAAAGTCAGAAGTTATTTCTGAGATACTCGAGTGACAAAAGTACTACATTATCCAGTTTTAATATTTTGGGAACAGTATACTTTTCCAAGGTTGCCATAGAGCTTGCAAAAGCAAAAGGTTGTTTGCATTTATACTGCTTTTGCTATGAATGATACCAAGCAGGTAACTATAATAACACGAAAAATATGGGCATTTTAAGTGCGGTGAATGACTGCTTTTAAGTTTTTTATTTCTACAAGGAAGTGGCAGTCCCACCAACTATTATTCAAAACTTCTTTTAAGTCATCTGACATGGTTCAGATTCCTGTTATTAACAGATCACCAGCTATGGAAAACTCAACAACAATTTTTTGGCGGCTGACAAGAGTATAACTACAAAGTGGCCCAGGGAGAGTAAAACTAACAAAACATGGCACTGCGGCTCTCCTAAATCATCTTTTAACACTCCTCTCAAAAAAACCCCAACAACAACACACCAAAACACACCACCAAAACCCAAGAAAAATAAGAAAAAACACAAGAGCTGAAGAAATAGTGAGATCTGCAAAAGATGCCTTACGTGCAATGTAAGAAATGTGATTAATTCAGTTCACTAAAGGAACAAAGTTTAGAGCTGACCTGATTATACTCAGTAAACATGGGTAAAAGACTTCTATCAGAGGCCACTTAGTCTGAAAGAAAAGCTGAAAATGAACATGTGAATAGGACAGATGATCAAGTGCCAGTTACAAGCTATGGAACTCCCTCCTTGGACATGCCGGTAAAGGGCCTCTTACTGAAAGAGCTGTCAAGGTTCAAAGAGAAACAGGGGCTGCTGCAGAGGTTACTGGGTTAAAGTCTCTGTGATCTGGGCTGAGGCAGGCTATGAAATGGCCTTTAGGGCCCAACTAGCAACCACAGCGTTTCACTTTCTGGTGCACACATTAAGACACACTGGGGAGCGGGCGTATCCCTGGACGATGCCAGGGCGGAGCAGCGAGTGAGGTCGCTCAGGCCCGGAGGCCTCCTCCATCCCCG